TGAATTATCATTGATATAGTCATAATTATTAATATAAATAACAAGCAATTATAGGTCAAAGTACGGCCTTCAACACGGAGCCTTGGCTCACACCGAACAGCAAGCTATAAAATGTTTACAAAACTGAATTCGAATACTAAGGATGTTTCTCCCTTAGGAATAGATTACATTAGCTGTGTTTGGCAAAACTTTTAGGAATTTGGATCCTCAATGCTCTTCAACTTCTTTCTTTGTTTGACCTTTTTAACTTTTTTATGAGAGCGTCACTGATGAGTCTTTTGTAGACGAAATGCGCGTCTGGCGTACAAAATTTCCATCCTGATATCAAATTCTGAACATTCTCGTAAAATATTAACAGTTTTCCTTACTTGATTCCACACTCATTTCCGTATTTACTTGCTGTCAGATAAACCTACATGTAACCTATAACATCCATTCCTCGACTTATTGCATATGATACAATGTGATGTTTCAGTGCAGTGGGAAAAGACCTATATAGTTTGACATTTTGCGGTGTGTTAAAAGAATAACTATTGTATTGCATTGTACCGTTAGATACAACATGAAACTGTCCTTTCGCCCATATATATATCGGAATGGTGTTAGAAAACGAGCAATTGATGTATACGACAAAAAAATAGTTAATGTAAATAAAAACAAAACGAATGCTTGAATAACATGAACCAGCACACTGCGGTACGATGCTACCAAAATATTAGCAACTCCTGTCCCATACATGGCACCTGTCATTCATGAGATCCTTAACATCGATTAGTTATATAGTATAAAGTTCAGAGACACACAAAATCACAAACTAAAAGTAAGCCAGCAAGTAGTGGTGACACCAAATTTCACATAGATCCACCTGCTCGTTGTGGCGGAGGTATCCTATATATCCACCTGCTCGTTGTGGCGGACCTAGCCTTCATAGTTTTTCACATATTTAACAGTTTCAATGCTGTTTGGATGTACTTTTGTTTCCTCATTCTCTGGATCAAAATCAATTCAATTTAATATCCAGTGTTGAAAATTATTTTTTTTCAAATCAGCGCATAGCCATTTTCACTAAAAGTATTAGTTACTCCGTTCAAATTATCACAATATGTTTTTTCTCTGAGATTGAAGTTAAAATAACTATAATGTTGTCTAGCTCTTCCCCTATAAACTTGAGAATTCCAAGAAATTAGGCAAACAACACAAAATTCAACTCTTTTTCCAAAAGAATTATTAATATGATATTGCACCCCAAGAATAGATTACCTTACCTGTATTTTACAAAACCTTTCGGAGTTTTGGGTCCTAAATGCTTTTCAACGTCGTATTTTATGAAGCCTTTTTGACTCTTTTTTTTCAACTGTCACTTGTGAATCTTTTGTAGACAAAACGAGCGTCTGGATAAAAAAGTTTGATCCTGGTATCTTTGATGAATTTATTCATACCTTCTTGCCAGTACTGCAAGACATGCTTTGATAAAAAAAAATGTAAAAAATTACGATTTGTTGCTTGATAAACAGGGTTGACGATCTCGTCCATCGATTACTAATCCATAAGTAGAGTTCAGAGAAGAGGGACGAAAGATACCAGAGGGACAGTCAAACTCATAGATCGAAAACAAACTGACAACGCCATGGCCAAAAACAAAAAGACAAACAGACAAATAATAGTACAGATGACACAACATAGAAAACTAAAGACTAAGCAACACGAACCACATCAAAACTGGGGGTGATCTTAGGTGCTCCGGAAGGGTAAGCAGATCCTCTCTACATGTGGCACCCGTCGTGTTGCTTATGTTATTACAAATCCGGTAAATAGTCTAATTCGGTAGGTCACTTTCGTGAAAAGGAAAGGGTATTGTAGTTACGACATAAGGAACATATCCGATATCATCTGTGAAACGGTTATTCCATAACGGTCAACCAACTCGTGATGGCGTCCGTAAAATTTACGAAGGGATGATTTCAACTTCACCATTTGGAACTCTTGGTTTAATAGCTTCCTTGTGAGCAGCAATCCTCTATCAAGGAAATCATGATAGGAAATACAAGCCCGGGAATATCGTATCAATTGGGAGATAAATACTCCGTATGCAGGCGCTGTTGGAATGTTGCTACATAGAAATGTAAAGTTCACAATTGGGAAGCTGAAATCATCTCTTTTGTCGTAAAGTTTTGTTTTCAACCGACCCTCATTGTCAATTTCTAGATGTAAGTCAAGATATGAGGCAGACTTAACTGTATCCGTAGTATCTTTTATCTCTAGTTCGATGGGATAGATTCGTTCAACATAGTCACCAAATTTTGTATTATTTAGTGAGAGAACATCATCTATATAGCGGAACATAGTATTCATCGAAAACCTCCATTATTATGTAAAAGCTTGAAAAATTACAATATGTTATTGATAGATAAAGATAGAGTACGATCTGTGTAATGAAAAGTGATTGCATTACAGAAAGTGTTTTATTAGACATAGAGTTGCCACTATGCCTGTCGACTTGGTGTATCTAAAGTTTTACATATACATATATGATACTAACACTTACCCATCGATGTAGATCTGTGTTAATCTTCAGATATTCTAGTTGTATTGTATTACCAGACGTCTGTCTCAGTTATGTATACCTTATATCACATTTATTTGTATGTATGTGCAGGTTTGGCTTTACTTTTGATTTCATTAGTTTAATCAGCTCTGCAACGTTTGTTTGGTTGTGCTCTTTCAAATAGTTTGGCTTCGAGCATCAATGAAGAGACATTCAAATTGATTGTCGAATTGCGTTTCTGGTGCTGTAAAATTGGTACCATTAATGTTTTTATTTAACTGTATATACAGTGGAAGTGAATGTTAGAATTCGTTTGGAAGGCTTTTGATCGGCAGTATATAGGAGGTTTCTGGAAGGCAAACTACAGATTCTTCATTTTCTGTGTGCATTCTACACTTTCCGTATGCGATGATGTTAAATGCATAAAACATAGATGTTTAAAACGGTTTATACATCTATGCATAAAAGAAGTATATTTTGTCCTTTTTTATCACTATTGATGACTCTAATGTTTTTGATATTTGAATATGGTAAAACGTTTTGGACTTTGAAATTTGAAACGAATTACTTGCAGAAATGAAACTTTTTCGTCAAACAAAACCAAAGTTCACATGTAAAGGAGTGATAAAAAATACATTAGATAGTTAATCTTTACATTTGTTTTGTCTAATTATAGAGTATATAGTCAGGACATGTTTATATAGGTAAAGGTATACTGCAATGAAACAAAAACTCAAACGTCACAAAAATCCAAAAGACGTCTAAAGTTAAACATTCAAAAATAGAAAAGTAAATAAGTAACTTTCGGAAAGTTGAATATATTAATTAACAAGACACATGTGTTTTTAAGAGAGAATCCACTGATTTCATCTCCATAATGATTTATAATAATAAAATGGAGGTTCGCTAATGACTTTACCACAGTTTTCCCGATTAGTCGGGCTATATTTTGCGTACCTTCTTTACAAAATTTAAAACCTCTCGGTCTTGAACAGTGCTCGTGTTTCCTTGATAACATGACCACATGTATCATATCCATTGCCTCGGTGGTCTCGTGGTATCGTGTTCAGTCGAACTAAACCAAAGACTTTACAATTGGTATTTGCTGCTTCTCCGCTAAGCACGTGGCATTTAAGAGTGAGAGCAAAGACTGCTGCTGGGAGTCAGAATTATGTATCCGGGTAGGGTGACATGTCTTTCTGCGAACTGTTACCTTGTGAACTAGCACATTAAAAATCCACCTCAGCGTGTCGGTAGGTTAATAGTTATATTGCATTAACATGTTCTCGTCCTGAATATGCATTTACGCTCGACCTTAAACAGCCATCCACCATCCTCATCGGATCATATCATTTAGTTTTAAGAATTAGTAGTGTTTTTAAATGTCAACGTCGGAAGAAAAAGTTATGAAGTAAAAATTGAAATTCTGCGAGGTTCTTTTAGGCAACTGCTATATAAAATAGGGTATTCCGGTGTTGGAAAAATCGTTCATTACTGGGTTTTTTTTACTACTACGTCTTAAATGAAATCTCAATTCATTGGTAAACTTTATTATGAGTATCAAACGGAATATCACGGCATCAGCATACATGTAGGTACATGTATTTTAATAAGTCGTAACCTTTATGCACTTTGTTCACGTATACTTTCTAAGTTGCCCCAAAACGGAACGTTACTGTTTTACTCTATTTAAAAGTTCATACACGAATTTCACTAGGATGTCTTCTTACCAAACTAGATGACAAATGAGACAATTTTTTTACTTTGCTAATTATTTCATTTCCTTCATGGTAGTGCTCCGTTGGTTTCCTCTTATTGAGTTTCAATGGTTAGTTACGTACATATTTGCGGTCCCATATTTGTGTTTAATGTCAGAAAGGTTTGTATTAAGTTTAACCAAATTTTACTACAAAAAATAACGGTCATAAAATGTAAATACGAATCAACTTGAAAGACTAAAACGGTATTGATTTATAAATTTCCCATTCCACAAAACACTACCAATAACAACCATTGAACCTGAAAACATGTGAAAATTACACGTGTCAAACACTTTGTACTATCAAACATTTATTATCCTCAAGCTCTGTATCGAAATCAAAAGTTCAACACAATTTGAAAAAGTATAATAACGTTTGACACATCATACAATGAAACAAATGGAATATATGTCCCTATACAAGTATATTAAACAATTTACGCTTTAGTCATATTTTTTTTTCACATTTTAATAGATGAGACCTCATATGTCTATCACATGTCACCTACATATATCAAATTATCTATCTTTACTGTTAAGAACAAGAAATATATTTTTATCCTATAAATCAGCACTTTTTAATAGTCAAAAATTGATAGATTATTCATGATTAATTCAAAAAAATTAGTGAAAATTTTAATGATATGCAAAATGAGGTTTCATTTCGTGGTAAATAACCGATCTAAACACACCTAAGTATACGTCAGCCGTTTTTATATATTTAGGAAATGACCTGTTAAAGATTCTAATTTAAAGATTGTTTGTTTACTTTCACTTGACACATTGTTGGACTAGATAAAAGTTTGAACTTAAGTAAGTTAGATTTTCTATTAATTTTAATGTTAAATCTAAAGATTGTTTATTATGTTTCAAAGAACAATTATATTGCAACTTTTATAACAAATAGATTGTCTTACAAAAAATATGCTTATAGGATTTTTTTTTTTTTTTTCACCATATTTTAATTTTGTTGTCTGTTATTATATATTATAACTTTTTATATTTTCTGTGTGGGAAATGAGGTTATGCTTGTATGCATGTTTATGTAAACAGATTTATCATTTCTCATTGTGTTTAGTAAGAATGAAGCAACAGAGTGTGTTGTATTTGATTTCGTAACTTCTTCACATTTCGGTTGGAAGCAAGTTAGCTTTCGTGAAGTGGAAGCTGATGAATGAAGTCATCAACCATGTTTGCCATATATCTATACTGTGCGTGTGGTCTCTAAACAAGTCTAGGAAAACGTTTTATTTTTTTTTATTTTTGAATTAAGTATATGGTTTTGGATTTAAATAAATATGGTCATTTATGAATCAAATAAATTTAACATGTATGTCCTATGTTAATATGCATGTTGTATTTAACCAAAACATGACTTGTTGATTAGAATGCCAAGTAACGATGACTAGTTTTTACTAATAAGACAATAAGGAAGTTCGGAATTTGTCAGGTTTGCTTTTATCTTACTCAGTCTGTTGCAAAACATGCAATTCTGAATGTTTCTGCTCCCAAATCTATTGTATTATATGCAGAGACAAAATTAAAATTTAAAATATCCTGTTATTGATCTGATTGACGAAAGCCACTTAGTAAGAAGATAATGCTGCCAGGAATAATATTGTGATATTCATTGATGTTGAAAAATATCAACGACTGGAAACTTGGAAACGCAATAATATAATAAAGGTAACAGTCCATTTTTATAATATGTACTACATGCATCATATTTAGTTATACTTTGTTTTGCAATCGCTAAATGTCCCCAGCGTTTTAAACAACATGACGTTTTAAATTCATAGCAAGATTTGATGTGTCTGCATTTCAGTTGACAAAATCGTCGTATCGTTAGGTCAAAAGATCAAACTTAAAATAGATATGTACACACACATCAAGAGACTAACCTTTTTGCATTTTAATTTGTATTATCCAGCTCTAAAGTCTATTCAATTTTTTTTCAGCTACGAGAAATGTTACATCTATATCTGGCCATCCTTGTGATACTTGTGAGCTTTGACATCCGAAATGAATGTGTTACGTTTGGAAAACTAAGTGGTAAGTATATATCATAAGTTATCGTGCAACTGATAATTGAGTAGGTTTGCATACAGGGAAATTAATCATCTTCTTATAACGATCTTTATGAGTTTTGTTTTGTAAACTGATGCTGCCGTATATACATCACCATATTACATTTCCTCTTATTATTTCTGCCTATTTTTTGTTGGTGTAAACAAAAGCCATTTGACCTCATCGTATTCAAAGATTCGCACAAAAACATTTGTAAAAATATATCTTTCGTCAAGATAACATAAATTCGGCATTACTAGAAATATACTATTCGAAGAGTAGGTTTTCATTTATTTTCATTTTTGAATTTAGATAGCAATAAAAGTTTGCATTTCCTAAAAATTACTCATTTACCGAAATGTATTTATTTTGAGAGAGGGAACTTTAACAGTACAAGTAGACTGAAAAAATATGGTTAAAAAACTTTGTTTTTGGTTTTTCATTGCCTGTTTTTTTTGGGTTTTTTTTTTTGGCATTTATTTGGCATTTTTTGTTAAAATTAATATTTTATTTTTAGCTTTAGGTTTTGCTTTTTATATTTATTTTTGGTTTTTGTTAATGCTTTCTTTACTTTGTAGTAAATGATTTGTTTAAATCTCCAAACTCCCTCCATGTAAAAACAATTGTATCTAAATTTCATAACAATCAACAATCATACTTATCTACCATTACTTAAATTCTATATACACTGTAATATAAACCTTATCGATTTTTTTTAACTAGACCGATAATTCATTTGTAACAATGGAGTACATTTCTTTTGTAAAGTAATGTTTGTTATGATGGACATTATCATGTTTTTATTGGAAAAGTCAGTTTCGTGAATATGCACACACATTTAAATCTTCAATATTCTTTCAGGAAAGGGTCAGTACTTAAGTTTCAAATACGTTCGCAGAATCAATGATGAGGTTCATAAAGGATTATCTCCTTCAAAGTTACAAAACTCTACTCCAAGAAATTCACGAAACTTTCCTCCACGAAATTTACGAAACTTTCCTCCACGAAATGTACGAAACTTTCCTCCACGAAATGTACGAATCTTTCCTCCACGAAATTTACAAATCTTCTCTGCACGAAATTTACAAGTCACTACTCCACGAAATGTACAAAGTTCTACTACCACACGGACTTTACAAAACTCTCCTGCACGAAAAATGATTGTGATTCCGGCAACTCCGACAAACACAAAAGAATTAAAATCAAATTTCAATGACATGGTTTATCCACAGCAAACGCATGTGTCAAGATTGCTTGGTGTTTTTATACGTCGGCAGAGTGCGTCATCACGTGGTAAAAAGAACGGAAATTCATCTACAGCAGAATTATTCGGAAGAAGTTTTTCGTCTCCTATGTTATTTGTAGGAAAAGACCTAAATACTGCTATATCAAATGGAATACCTATTTCCAAACTCCAAGAAGTAACTCAAACGAATGAAACCGCTCCAACTAGAGAAGAGATTGAACAAATACTAGAATCGTTTGGGCAGTTAGATTTATTACAACAATTTCCATCAGTGGCAAAACACATGTTTAACATTACAACCAAAGGCCAGTTAGATATGATTGGTAGCCTCGCAAGTCATAATAACCTCAAAATTTTAATAGAGCAACCTGCTAGTTTTGTCATCGTTCTTAGAGCTGAAGGTACACCCAGTCAAATACGGACACTGGAGACCTTAATGACAACCAGTTGGATTTCTGAGGTTGCTGAATCACCGAAGGTAATGGAACAAGCACTCAATGCAAGTAGAAATCCTGCAATAGCGGAATTTATACAGAAACTATCCACAACAGATTTATTGGAAGAATTCGTTGATTATCCTATTGCTTTCAAAATGATTACCGATAAAGTGCTGACTGACCTTCAAAAGGACGCTATTGTTACATTGGGATTAGGTGATATGCTACAGGAACTTATCGAAAATCCTAAAATATTCGATCAAGTTTTAAACTACGTTACAAATGGAAGTCGGATACAACTTATCGTAGCTCTATCGCATTCGGGCGACATTGAGTATTTGGTAGCTAGTCCGCACTTAATGACTCTTGTCCTAAATAATGCTGTGCTGCAACCTCAAATAGACGTTCTCATAACATTATCGAGAGTAGACTTAATACAGGACCTTCTTCTTGTACCTAACGTTTTAGAAGAGATTTTACAATACAGTAATACTACTACAAATGGGAAGTTTATTGAAACATTAGCCCAAACTGGGCAACTAGACCAAGTGTTGACTGACCCAACGCTTTTGTCACTTGTGCTGAAACCATAACACGTGTTTTCAGTAGAAAGACAAAAGATTCAAACTATTACAATACATTATCTATGTTAAGAGTTGTGATTTTGATATACATTTGAAGAAAAAAAATGATTATCATGATTCCAAGAAGCGCCTGAGCTATCACAGTATGACAGTCAAATATACACAACATTTTGTCTGCTTGTTATATATATTGACACAACCTTTTGTCTGTGTGTTATTTTCATTATAACAATTGACTGATTGAAATTGCTTTCTTATATTTTATTTCTTTCTATCAATTTTCTCATAAAAGTATCTTTAATTTACTGAGAAAGTTATTAGAACAGAAGTCGTTTTGGCGATTGTTTTACAAACTTAGAACATATAACATATAATTGCATACGGGGCATTAGCTAAGAATAAGACAAAAAATCAAAATCTGATTTTTTTTTTTTAATTTCAAACATTTAAAAAGCGGAATCATGATAGAAATAATATTTCGTTATTAGTTAAGAAAATCTTTGTTTTTGTTTTAAGGGGGTGGGTGGTTATTGCGTGTTTTTTTGGTTTTGTTTTTCATTTGGATTTCTGCTTCTTTTTTCAAACATATTTTTTTTGTAGTTTTGTTTTTGTTGTTGTGCTCTTTATCTTATTTTTTTTAATGATTGTTTTTACTGTGTGGTAAATGATTTTTTTAAATCGCCAATATCTCTTCATGTAAAAAATATTGTATCTAAATTTCTTAACAATCAATAATTATATACCTATTCGTTTCCTGAATTATTATAAAATATTAACCTACTTGAATTTTTTTAACTGGACCGATATTTCATTTGTAACAATGGAGTACATTTCTTTTGTAAAGTATTGTATGGCATGATGGCCATTATCATTTTTACAATGTTAAAAGTCAGTTCCGTGAATATGAACACAATTTAAATCTTCAATATTCTTTCAGGAAAGGGTCAATACTTTAGTTTCAAATACGTTCGCAGAATCAATGATGAGTTCATAAAGGATTATCTCCTTCAAAGTTACAAAACTCTACTCCACGAAATTTACAAAACTCTCCTGCACGAAAAATTATTGTGATTCCGGCATCTCCGACTTTCACAAAAGAAGTAAAATCAAATTACGATTACATGGTTTATTCACAGCAAACGCGTATGTCAAAACTGCTTGGTATTTTTATACGTCGGAAGAGTGCGTCATCGCGTGGTAAACAGAATGGAAATTTATCTACAGCAGAACTATTCGGAAGAAGTTTTTTTTCTCCTTTGTTATTTGTAAGAATTGGCGGTTGTTTTACAAACTTAGTACATAGAAGTGCAAATCAAGTTGAAGGGGAATTCGCTAAGAATTAGACAAAAATCTAAATGTTATTTTTTTTTTTTTTTTGGTATTAATCATTTTAAAAAACGGAATATAGAAATAATATTTCGCTATTATAAGTCAGCTTGTTTCAATTTCGTCAAATAAGCTATTAAAACATTGCTGGTGTATTATTTACTGACAGGTCAACAATTAAATCTTTTAGTTTGAGCTTTAGTGGAGAAAAAAATATTCTCATTCAAAACGCAAGCAAAGCTTATTAAACTTTGCAAATTTATCAGAATCATAAATATAGCTGAGTGTACTCCAGGATTAATCTAGTATGAATCCATCCCTATTTTTGTCTTGCACTAATTGTATTTCAGTATTCATTGTATATAGTATACATATGTATTTCTCTATACTTTGTCAAAAGGATGTGTTTTTTAGCATTAACATCAATATCTATACAGGTAAAACGATGATTTACATATATTTTTAATATATAACATGAAACCAAACAGGCCTAGAAAAATCGTCAATATGCGATTGCACGTGATTGTTTGTCTATTTATATTTATATCTATGTTTATATCGGGATCTGTATGACCGTCATCAGTCTTCGGAGGTCATCTCGATGGATAATTAGATGGCGTCTAGTCTACACATTATCATTATAACTAGTCCATATATTGTTAATTGTTTCTTTTGGACATTTGTAATTTGAATATGCGTTTTAGTATATAATATAAATCAAATATGAGAATTTGGGTCAAATCGGTGAACATGAATTTGACAGCTAATGTCCCTTTAATAGAACATTTTCGCACGAGGTTGGTGATGTACAGCTGGAACGTGATCATTATAAGACTTATAAGAATGCATGTGCTGTTCTGATATGATCTTCTAGTTTTGTAGTATTGACATAATTGAATTCATTGTGTTACATTAACGTTTGTTATTTAATTTATTTCGGATTTTATGTATATGTATCTACATAACATGCAATTGTACTTTTCTTTAATTAAATGTATGTGTCTTGCTGTATAATTATACTGGACCGCATCATTTAATTATGTAAAGACTTCAGTCCTCAGAATAAGATTTATATTAATGTTTTATTATAAAACTTTGAATTCGGAACAGCATAAAAATAATTCACGAAAGTGAAAGTGAGACGAAAGGTTCCAAAGGGACATTCAAACTGAAAATATGATTGACTTTTACATACAAGATTCTCCAAATATGTATCGAAATAAATTTGCCTTTTGCAAAAATTAGGTTTATCAAGAAAACATGTAGCACCGACATTTAAATTATCATTACTAAAAGTCAAATATATTCCGGTTTTATCAGACATTAAAACTGATCTATTACATTGTGAACATCCTTATGGTAGTAAATGTTAATTCACGATGGGGAGAATGATCTTTATGATCCTATTAATTGTCAAAAGTCAATACGTTGTAACACGAAGTGACATTCAAATTAAAACATTAATAACATGTAATCATTGTCATTGTATTCTAAAAGAATATTAAAATATGATATTTACTGTTATTAAATTAACCTTTTTAGATGTTTAAGAATATGATATATTGTAGCAGAGTTCAAGTTCAAATGGGTTTTGCTGAGTTGAAATAAGACGTCAATTTCTCTTCCTTGTTGTTACTCTCCAAAAATAAATATATATGTATATGTCATTGAAATTAGATTCTTCCATAGTAGTTTGCGTCTTGTCAGTAAAGGAGAAAAGAACGTTATTGAGAAAGGTAATAATTACACGTGCAAGACAGTCTTGTTGTTAAAAGGTTAGTTGAGTGTTGTAGGCACGGAGATAATATCATACACTTTAAAGGACATAGTCAAATCTTTGGATAGCATTTCATTTTCAAAATTACAAATAAAACGTGTCATTTATTTCGAAGCACTGCATATTTGAATAATGATATTTAACTGTTCTGTCCAATAAAGAACCAATCTTCTAGTGGTTAAAAGAGGAAGGAACTAAATATAGAAACAAAAGGAACATACCATTCACTAATTAGTCAATGATTCGGTATGATTTAAATGGTTTATTTTAGTTTTATTAAGGTCATGGAATTTTACTAAAAAAATTATAATTACTAGTATACAATTCATGTAGTCACGGACGTGTAGACGAATTCCTTATTATGTAATCTCTCACATTCATGGGATAACCATTTACTATACGGTGGATTTGGAAATGAATAATCTTGCCTTGCAAAAGGATGAAAATACAAAGCAGTGCGGAATAAATGAGCCGTATTAGCAACAAGTAAAATGGATATAATATCCGCAAAACATCCCCCTGCGCCCTCCCCGAGAATATCAAATGGTCGCCCCCCTAGGACAGAACAGAAATGAAAAGAATCATAACAGGTGATTAACTATTTTTATTGCTCTTGTTTTACAGTTTTTTTTGCATCCGCCACTGGGCGACAGGGCATTAAGTTTTGTCCGTTCGTGCGTACGTGCGTATGTTCCGAAATAATTTTCCGTTCTCTAACTTTAGTTTACCTCAAGCAAATGTTATGAAACTTATAAAAAAAATGCTTATTACCACCAAACACAAATCAAGCTCGAATTTGGATGGTCGCTTTCATTGTTCTTGAGTTATGTCCTTAATAAATGGAATAAAAATTGCGATTTTTGCACTCTTACTTTACTGTGCCTCAACCTAATGTTACGAAACTTATTCCCAATACTTATTACCACCAAACACAGGTCAAATTAGAATTTGGGTGTCGTCACTTTCACAGTTCTTGTGTTATGCCCCTTTATTAAGTTTCAAAGAAAACAAAACGTCAATAGGTTTGAATTAGTACATTAACTCTTACATATTTACAAGCGGGGGCGTCTGTGTCCCATGAACACATTCTACTTTAAACTCCGCTGTTCAGTTGAGCATTTTTTCGGGGGGATCTTGAAAGAACATGATATCATAGGTACTCCAGAATCACCATCTCATGCATACGAAAATCAAAAGGGTTTAATTTGGATTGAATGTGTCAAATGCATATTCTCATTATCAAAAATAGATAAGATCGAAAATACTTTGAATAATATTAGTAAGAAAATCAATAAAAAAGAAATTATTATAAAAAAAACGTATACTAGTGAATCAAAAATCGTTAATTTGACGGAGGCTGATACGGGTGCGTGCGTGCGTGCGTGCGTTAATTCTCCCAGGAAACGGTATAAAGAGTTGAGCGATGCAGAGTTTTCGGAGTGAGCGCTGAATGTATTATGCTACGTATAAGCCTCCTTTTATTAGGAGCACCACCATGAGTTATGGTGTAAGAGAGGACATTAAGCACACTGTATCGGCACAAATTTAATGTAATTTACCTACCCAGTTTTTGAGGCTTTCCTCTACCAGGAATACAGCTGGGCATTTAGCGGTATCGGTATTAAATCCAAGTATTTTCTTACCGGTTTCCAGTTCGTTGCCATGGCATTTGTGAGGCATCCGGGGTTTCCTTGTCTCTTTTTTGTATATATTGTACACCATTTATATTTTGAGGATGAGCGAATCAGGTGAGTGGGTGTGTTCGTATGTTTTATAGCATTGTATTTATTCATGTTTTTGGGGAAATTTAACTTTCTGGTAGCAAGTCCCGTCACGGCCAGGCTGGGTAACTGGTAGGCAAATGCTCATATTAAATCTTTTTTTTTACTTCATACTGAAAAGGGACGGATAGCTTTTTGAAAGAGCTGATACTTGTTTACAATTTAAAATTGAACGATACGATAAAATAATCAGATCCAATGAGTTATGCAAATCCAGTCTTTTGCTAAACCAATAATAAAAGTTTAATTTGAACGTTTTCTTGTAATTTTGCAATATAAAATAAGCATCACAAAATCTTTCACGATCCTTTTCGCGATCATCAACAAGCGGTACCCAATCGTTCACGATCCGAATTATCAATTTCTTACAAATATTCCATTTTTTGAAAAATATCTGATTAGGCTACTACAAAATAACTTAAGAACCATTTGTATTAGTCATATGAAACGACATTTTTTCAGAATAAAAGGTTTGTTTAGTCATTCTTATTATCAAAAAATCATCAGGTTTGTTTACATTTTTATGCCATTGAAATGTCGAAGTAACTGATAAAAAGTTAAAGTATAAAGTCAAATTCATTTAGATTAGATATCAGTTATGCACATGCGTAGATAAAGATTCATTTAATATAAAATTTGTATTAAAAGTTATAGAACTGATATCAATCCATCAAGAACCCTTTAAAGAATTCATGGAAGCTTTACCATTTATTGTCATAAAAATGGACGAACTCTTCCTTAAGGGATACAAGAAAGTGTTGTGATAAAGAAAAAGAAGATGGGATTGGGACCATGACTAACTGAATCTATGAAATCGACATATCGTGATAATCGACCAAGTTTTGGTTGGGCATGTTAAACTATTCGACATCAAGTTTACGATTAGGAACCATTGAAACAGCAGCGGCGAAACTTCTATTTAATAAGGCAACTTCATTGTCAATTTTTTGTAACATGTATTCCATAATATAGAGTATAGAAAATGGTTCAAAACATTTGACTTCAACACCCTTAACACACGCATTCCGCATTATTAACTTGTTTTCATAAAAAAATAACAAGACAGTTGTTTTTTTGAGAATGGACAAATTATACTTTGTACCACCAATGTACCTCCGATGGAACCAACTGCATGTGCTCTTCATATTAGAATGAATTTCATAACAGCGTGGACATGGACACATGATATTTAAATGTTATCGTGTGTATCACTGGTTGTCGACAACAAAGACCTCACGCAATTACAGTATGTCAGGGGCCTCTCAATGGGGATATACATAATTACTATTTTACACATGTCCTTTCATAAAATAAAAGATTTTGCATGAAAGTTTATAGGAATTTGTTTTGAATATATATTTATATACTCACAACAAGAAGTTTCTTATGACAGAATGAGTATATTCAGAGGTGATATCACCAAGTAATCGAGAGAAAAAAACGTACTGTTTTTTCTTGCACAAACGTTCTGTGGCTCCTTAAAATCAAAGTACTGAAGTACTGTACATCGAATGACCGCAAGTTCTGGTGGATGGTCTCAGGCACTTGTTTCAGAAAAAAATCGTATCTCTATACCTGAAAGTTAGGTTAAGGTACATAGATCTAAATTTTTTTTTCTGAGACAAGTTCCTGTGTGGATGATGAATAAATGACTGGGAATTCAACCTCACCGTAATAAATATTATATTATAGTGATATAATCATTTGTTATCAATATACATGTAATAAAGCTTGTTTGTTGTTATAAATTATATTAATATTTGTATAACAGTTATATATATAGCAGATCATCTTAATAACTCTACAGGCAAATTTTCATCCTTGTCAGTGCAAAACGTCCTCGAGATAGTCTTCCGCATGCGTTAACACACATTTTCGGTATTCATGATTTGATACTGATATAATATGTTTCTCTCGACAAAACATTTTCACATCTTTTAAAATATTTTCATGGGTATTCATTGAAGAAATGAATTTATAACAAGCGATAAGGAATGTTTATTTTGCACTCGATAATATCCGCGTATTTATACGAAATACGTTCGGTTATCAGTCAAAAGCGCAACAGAAATTTCTGCTGCAACATAACACCGGTTTAACCTCTCAAGGTTACATCCGATGTAAAGAATAAGAAAACATGTATTCATACGAGTTGATTTAGAGTAACCTACGATCACCTTCAATACTAATATTATTTTTGTTGGTAATAAGAACCCCGGACCTTCATAAAAAATCATTTTAGTCCTCTGAGCTGCATAGTTTTTAGCACGGAAAAAATTTGAATTCCCATCGAAGACTCCAACGATCAGATTTTCGTGAACATTTAATATCATTCTAACAATAATAATAACTCGTGAAAATATCAAGAAGCATGCTTTATTCATGCTGATTTCAAAAGCCTCTTGCATAGCCAGCCCCTCCCATATTTTAACTGAATCAGGAATGATCGCCTCCTTACAATGTGAAATTGTACTCACTACTTTTTCGGTTTCTGTGTTTCAATATCCATGAATATAATGATATGTTCACAATACATCTGTTTTGGAAAAATAAATCATGTGCACTAAACTGGTCAACTGTAACACGACATAATGTACAGGTTATTATGTCAACATAACCCGTAACAGTGTAATAATAACCTTCAAACTGGGTGCACTCGTTTAACGCTTCTAGTATAAAAGGTATTATGACCATATTTAATTCATGGATAGATACTGAAACACAAATTAAAAAAAATAAGTACAATTCTAAATTAAATTGCTGTGATCCGTCCATTCGTTTTTCAAATCAACATAACAGCTGCATTTAACAGGTCAGACACGAACATGTATTATTTAGCATACTTATGCCCCGTCAATGCCTGTATTAGTGTTTGTTTACAAATAAAGCATTATTATTTTTATTTTGGCGATTGACCAATCCACTGAGTGATTTGCAAAGCATGATGGACTACTTGTCTATAACTGACACACTACTCAAGTTAATTTTTCACTTATTGACAGAAATGGATTTTTCTTACTTTTTTCTCTCTCGATTACTTGGTGATATCACCACTGAATATACTAATTCTTTCAAAAGAAACTTTTTACTGTGAGTATATACACTTAAC